ATATCCATATATATATTTTTGAGGATATGGATTCTGAGGATTTTTAACGGGACAGCTTCCTTTGTTTTAGGCTAGAGATCAGCTTTCATCCAACACAAATACCCTCTCGTCCTCTCTTCGAATAGAAGGTCTCATTCATGAAATGTTAGTTAATTATAGATTATAGATTGTAGCAGTGAAAATTAGACAACGTATCTACACTATAACTACTTTGCGGTGCGGCGGAGAGTGACATCTGGAATTGCCTTCAGTAGCTCATGCAGTCAAACGCCGGGAAGTAATCTCCACTCCCATGTATCTATGAAACAAACAAATGCAGCAATGAAGAATTGCCAAAAATGAAATCAGTTTTGCATACCTTCCCGTCATTATGAAAGTTGCCTGTGGGTTGGTCCCCGGGCAGAAGTCGAACACGGAGCCATCCACAATCCGGAGCTGCTCTGTGCCCAAAACCTTGAATTGGGCGTCCACCACCTGGCCAACCCGGCAGCTACCATGGTAATGCCACATAGTACCAACGTTGGCCTTGCAATACGCACCCAGGGCCATATCAATCATCTCCTTGGGGTAGAATTTACGGATCGGGAGGCCAAGAATGTTACCAGATGGCATTGCTTGCATACCATTGACAAACGGCGTCATGCTCTTGGACAAAAGGAGCTCCTCGATCACATTCAGGCCGCCCACACAGATCTGCAAGTCCTCGGGATCCTTGTAATAGTTGAAGGTGACAGAGGGGTTCTGCCTGATATCCATGCTGTCAATGAGAACCTCTCCCGTGGATTTTGGTCCTACCACCTTTTGGAATATGACGCTGCCCTGGAGGTTCTGGACACCGCTGAGGGCCTCGATGTAGCTGCCAAAGGGCGTGATTCCGGCCACCTGTACGAGAGCCGGCTCCACAGGCGACATAGAGGGGACGTACAGTCGGGTGGCGGGATTGTCCGCAATGTTCTTGCCGACTGGAAGATCAAGAATGACGGGAATGCCCTTCTGCTTGAGGTGCTCCGCCGGCCCAACGCCGCTCATCATCAGGAGGTGGGGAGTTCCGATGGCACTGGCGGAAAGTATCACTTCACTCCTTTCGTCAGCCTTGAGGAACGCGGCGTGGATTTGTCCGAGCTCGTCGACGAATTCAACTCCAATGGCCGTGGGCTTGGAAAGACCATCTTCGATACAAAAGAACAAGAATTTTGTGATTTCAAAGCAAGAAAAGAGTTTGAAAACAACTTACCATCGAACTGGACCTTTGTAACTGTTGCATGGAGCACAACTTGAAGGTTGGTCGCATTGGCATATGCGGCAATCAAGTTGGAAGACGGCCGGCGCTGGCCATTGCTGTCATACAGCGAGCCCCCAGTCTTGGTTCCCACGAAGTGCTCGTAAGTGGCACCAAGATCCGGTGTCACTCCAACCTCGACAAGCCCCTTGTGGAAAGCGCTCTGGAAAGGTCCCAATACAGGGAGCGAGACAATCGCATTCTCTGCCCAGGTGTACGAGGCATTAGCCTTGACGGGATCGAGTCCGAGCTGCGCAATCTCCGAAGCCGGGGCACGGTCCCAGAAACCGGCGTTAATCGATGATCCACCACCCAAAACGCGCCCCCGAGCATTGGCAACGCCTTCAGTGGTGACGAAGTTCTGAGCTCCATCATCCAGGAACCCCAGGAAGAAATTCTCCACCCTCATGAGCAGTGGGTTGCTGTAAGGGGAGCCTCCTCGCTCGAGCAATAGGACGCGGAAGTTCTCTGACAGTGTTGCGGCCAGTGCACATCCTGTGGCACCGCCTCCCACAATGATGTAATCGTAGTCTTGCGTCAACTCGACATTGTGAGCTTCTTGGAGAGGAAAGGGGAATTCTGCATTTAGTTTTCAGCAAAGACACAGTCAGTAAACAAGAAATAAGAAATAACTTTTAAATAATTACCCGCTGCAGCAGCACAAGCAATGAAAACTGCGAAGAACAAGCCAAGGATCCCCATTCCTGTGATTCACAAGCTTTGTGTTCTTTTGGGCATTATTTTATAATGCGTAAAAAAAAACCTTAATTACTTCCCAACCTATAAATAAAGAAAAAGTGCTAATAATGCATGTAACTTGCATGCCAAAAAAGAACTAAGTATTGGATTTTATATCTATGCTATAACAGCTTCTTTCCACTTTTTTTAAAAAAAATTCTACGTCATCTCTTCAAAGAAACTTCTTGAAAGCTTGTCATCCAGGACACAACATATATATCGCGGGGCATTCTCTGGAAGATTTCCAGAGCTTGATCGTGGTTTGAAAGCTCTCGTTTTGTTGAGGCATGCTGTTGAAGTAGAGCTTTGCTTCGTGATTGCGTAAATCCTTGCAGTTAGGATGGCCATGATGTTAAGACCGCCAATGCAGGTCAATAGATCATCTGAGTTGTTGTAATAGTTGAAAGTGATGACAGGATTGTTGGTAATGTCCAAAGAATATTAGGCCCCGCTTGTAAGTATATGCATCAAGCAAGAGATCACGTTCTGCCGCGGCATCCTCTCGAAAGTTTAAGCAGCAGCCTCTAGATTTTCCATCTGGGCATTTTCTGTCGTCGTTGCCGCAACATTCCAGTGGCATTGAATGCTTTGGCATACTCAAAGGACCTTAAAATATCAGATAATCGAGACACCAGTGCGTTCCAAGTGACCTCTTCGTGCGGCATCAAATCAAACAAGTCGTGCCAAATACCCAATATACCCGTCACGGAATATGGTGAAATAAAAATAAGACACAACGTCTCAAATGGAATTCCAGCAGACCACCAGTACAAGCTGTCCATCTTGTGCCAAAACGTTCACCAGTGCATTTCACGTCACATCGCTCGCTACTTCTTAGAGCAAATCCCGTGTGTGTGAGAAGATGTAGAATACGCCGTGGGCATGGTCCAGGCAGCCACACATTTGGATCGGTGGTGTCAATGCACGAGAGAATCCGTTTGCCCCGTGTTGCACGATCTGTTCCCAGAACTCTCGCATCCTCTTGCAGGTTCCTGTAGAAAGAGAAAAAGAGTTGAGCGGCAATGTAGAATGGTGCCAAGCTAGTCGATCATTGAGTAGATCTTTTTGTGCTGAACTTTGACGTTCGAATTTGTGATGCCAGAAGATAACATTTTACCCGCGTTTTCTAAATTAAAGGTTTGATGAAACATGAAAAAGTTTGCATTAAGCTTTTTTCAGGTGGATGTGCTATTGAGCCGCGCATCTATAATCTCCAATCCCATGTACCTGTCCATTTGCAAACAAAAAGATTGTAAAAACTACGGATAAGAATTCTGCACATACCTTCCCATCATTACAAATGTTGCCTGGGGATTGGTACCTGGGCAGAAGTCAAACACAGATCCATCGACAATCCTGAGCCTCTCCGCACCCAACACCTTGTACTGGGAGTCCACCACCTGGCCAACCCGGCAGCTACCATGGTAATGCCACATTGTACCAACATTAACCTTGCAGTATGCACTCAGTGTCGCGTTGATAACCTCCTGTGACGTAAACTTGCGGATCGGCAAGCCAAGCACGTTGCCCGATGGCATAGCTTGCATGCCGCTCACAAAAGGGGTCATTGTCTTGGACAGCAGGAATTTCTCCATGATGTTAAGACCGCCAATGCAGGTTGCTAGATCATCTGAGTTGTTGTAATAGTTGAAAGTGATGACGGGATTGTTGGTAATGTCCAAGCTGTCGTTACTAAGGACCACTTCTCCGGTGGATTTTGGGCCCGCCACCTTTTGGAAGATGACGCTGCCCTGAAGGTTCTGGACTCCGCTGAGGGACTCGATATAGCTGCCGAAGGGGGTGATACCCGCCACCTTTACGAGCGCAGACTCAACAGGCAGAGGCGATGGCACGTAGACTCTTGTGGCTGGATTGTCTGCAATGTTCTTGCCAACAGGCAAGTTGAGGACGACATTGATGTTGAACTGCTTGAGGTGATCAGCCGGCCCAACACCGCTCAACATAAGAAGATGAGGAGTTCCGATTGCGCTGGCGGAGAGGATAATCTCACTGGCCGAATCTTGTTTGAGAAAAGCAGTATGAAGACCTCCATTTCGGTCGATGAAATCAACTTCCATCGCCCTTGGAGCTCCAGAATCTGCAGAACAGTCATTATATAACTATATAACCAAGATTGATTCTTACCAGACACATCGAAATGGATCTTCACGGCTTGAGCATTCAGCAGGACCTGAAGGTTTTGCGGGTTAGCATAAGCGGCGATCAAGTTGGAAGACGGTCGGCGCTGGCCATTCTCATCAAACAAGGTTCCTCCGGTCTTGGTCCCCACAGAGTGCTCGTATGTAGCACCGAGATCCGGTGTCACTCCGGCTTCAACCAGCCCCTTGTGGAAAGCTGTCTGGAAAGGTCCTAAAGTTGGTAGGGAAACAATCACATTCTCGGCCCAAATGTAGGAAGCATTGGCTTTAACAGGGTCAAGTCCGATCTGTTTGATTTCTTGGGCTGATGCACGGTCCCAAAATCCCCCATTGATCGATGACCCCCCACCCAAAACTCGCCCTCTTGAATTAGCAACACCATCTGTGCTGACAAAGCCTTGTGTTCCTTCGTCAAGTAAACCAAGCATAAAATTCTCCTCTCTCATAAACAGCGGGTTATTGTAAGGGGAGCCACCTCGCTCAAGCAGAAGAACAGTAAAATTCTGTGAAAGTGTTGTAGCCAATGCACATCCTGCAGCTCCGCCACCCACAACAATGTAATCCAAATCTTTAATCAAGTCAGGCGCTTGGTGTGCCTCGCTAAGAGGGAATGGAAAATCTGTGAAAAAGGTTTTAAAACATTGGTTTACATGGAAAACCTTGGAAACTACATGACTAACCATCTGCAGCAACATAAGCGATGAAAAGGAAGGCAGCCAGAGCCAAACACTTTAATTCCATTGTTGATTGCGATGATATAAAGTCGTATATATATACCGATATTGTTTCACTAATATTAACAATCGATGCTATTCTTAACCATATGATAATTGAAATGGAATATATTTCTGATAGCACAGTCGACAAACTTAAATAAACTTAAAAGGGATTCACAAGGTTTATTCGTTTGCCTTTGATTCTAAGGCCGTCATTCCGGCAGTGATCTCTTCAGCAAGCTCGTAAACTGCAAGACTATATAGAATGGATATGTTGTATCGCATAACAACACGAAAGTTCTCCCAGACAAGATAAGCTACTCCCGAAGGCCCGTCCGGAGCAACCTGTTAAGAATTTATTGGCGAGAGAAAGAGTGAGAATCAGCAAATGGAGAATTCTTACATACCAGACTGACTGGTTCGTCACCAGATAGCTGACTTCCATCGCAGGCGGTGATCGTATTTTCTTCTAACCATCTGTTCACATTTTTCTTGATATCCAAACCGTAGACAGATTTATCCATGTCGGATGGAATTTTGACCTTGCAGAAACACCAATCGATCAGGTTAAGGAGAGAAAAGTGAAGGCAAACCTTCTGTGCGTATTTTCCGCCAATCTCCCATCCATGTTCAGCGAGATAGTTTGCAATGGATGCAAATATGTCGGCCTTTGAAGACCAGATATCTGGAAATAACGTTTTAGGAATGGACACTAAAGAAGAAACCTTTGAGTACCTTTGCGTCCATCTCTGTCGAAATCAACTGCGTAGTTCCTGAAACTAGACGGCATGAATTGGCATTGTCCCATGGCACCGGCCCAGGAACCTTTCAAGCCAGCTGCATTAGACGGGCCCTCGGCCTTGTCAAGGATAAACAAAGCATGGAAAACTTCATCCCTGAAGAATGCTCTACGTCTTGCCTGTGAGAAAACAAATCACTGTAAACTCGACTCAGTATCATAGATTTACGCCAACCTCTGGGGAATCAAACGCAAGAGTAACAAGCGCTTGAATGACATTCCACGAACCCGTGTAGGAACCGTAGCTGCAAAAAGCAATTAAGAGACAAAATCTATGAACGCGGATCTTACTTGGACTCGATCCCCCAGATGGACACCAAAAGTGACGCGGGTACTCCATACTCCGCAGAGATTTCTTCCAGCAACGCTTTGTTATCAACAAACGCCTGGACACCTCTCGAGACCCTGCTCTGGCTCACCATACTAGCAAAAACGCAGAGAATGTGTTAAAAGCTAGAAAACAAAAAGTTGCCTTACGTTTTTATATAGTCTTCCGCAGTAAGCGTTTTCTCTGGCTGAGTTTGATCCTTCTCCATAATCTTTGGCGAAATTTTGACACCGTCGAATGCTTCTAGCACCGTGTCTTTGCCGACGCCTCGCTGAATTGCCTCCTCTTTGAGATCTTCGAGCCAAGCACTGATATCGGACTCTGGCGTCGACATTTCTACTGGAATTTGATTGATTTTGACGTGAATCTGTGCTCTAATAGCTGGCTGAGAGATGGAAAAAAAAAAACAAAAAAAAAACACGATCACAGGGCTTGAATTTAACACAAGTTTTTTTTTATCACCTGTTCGCTTGCTATTGAGCAAAAAACTGGAGCTTGGCTGGTGTAAGAATGTCCTTCTCTACAAACAAAACATCAAAAAATAAATCACCAAGAAAGATTGCGATAAGCAAGTTTCTTCTTACCAGACCTTCTAAACGAAGAACACGCGACCACTACCAAAACCGCGGCGAGCTTGGGGTCGAGCGCGCAATGAATCGCCTCCAGACACCTCTCGATCTGCCCCAAATTCCACAAACCCGAGACCCGCGACTGTTGCTGAGAGCTACACCTCGCCAGTGCCAATTTTCTAGGGAATGCGCGACACCTGCTAGAGACAAGCGAGAAGGGCGGCAAAATCCGGCAGGAGGGATCTAGCTTAGCAAACATTCCATCTCTTGAATGAAATCGCAGCCCTGGAGACGAGAAAGCCATGGCGCTCATGGCCGGAATCAAGCAATCCTAGCGATTCCCACAAAATGTAGGTGGAATCCCACTCAATCCCTCCAAAATCCAGCGCCAGACGCCATCGCCCATAAACCCTAGGAGACCCCCACTATTTTGTTTTGAAAAACTATTCATATGCATGGCCGTTATAAACTCTTTATTCGGGCTCCTCACTTTGTACTTTCCATTGCTCCAAGTTCCAAAAGCGTAGCTCTGGTTGGAAGCTTTCACTGCCTGGAAGCGAACTTTAAAAGCTATGGTCTCTCCTCTACGCTCGAATTCTAGAACTGGAGGAACCACCGATACCAAAACACGAGCCTCCACGCTTGATCGGTACGTGGTAGCGTCGTCGTCTACGTTTGTCACTCGCCGGTGGACGATTCCCTTGCCCTGAGCGACGAGATCGCGATGGAGGGATAGTTGAGATTGTTGGAAGCCATGCGTCGTCGTATGGCACAGTTCGCGAAAGTCGAGATGTATCGTCTCTCTTGACTCAATCCACACAGAAAGTCCGTGAAGTCGGGCGCCTTGGCATCGTAGACGAGGCCCGGATGAGCAGCCGCGTTTGGATTGACGTGGCCTGCACCGAAGTTAAAAGGGGTGACGGGAAGCAATGCTGCGTCTTTGATCGGCCCTCCAGAGTTATCAGTGAGAAAACCTTTTGCAAAACGAGAAAAAAAAAATCCGATTTTCTCCTGAAAGCACATTGCGTTTTACCTGTAGTTACGATTGCCGAGTTGATAGCCACTGGACACCATTCGGGACGGTATGCCTTGAGCAGTGCAACGATCCCGGAGACATGCGGACAAGCCATTGAAGTTCCAGACAAAATACGATATTCCGTATTGTTTGCGAAAGGGCTGTATGCAGCTAGAATGTCCACTCCTGGAGCTGTGATATCGGGCTAGAAAAAAGAAAAAGAAAAGAAAAAAAAAAGAAAACAAGAAAGAAGAAGAAGAAGAAGAGAGACTAAGTCTTTTTTTTAGAACTTGAAAATTAATTCTTACATACCTTCAGAATGTCGGGATTGGGGCCCTGCGAAGAGAATGCTCCCGTCACTGGTGCGGATTTAGCGTTGAGTAGCGTGGAGGCTGCAGATATTTGTGCCACAGGAGATCTACAAGATGAAGCAACACAAGCTTGTTTCTACGCGAGCAAAAAGTAAACCTTGTGGAGTTACGATTTTATGGCATTTGCCGCGGCTCTGTTGACATGAGACGCAGAAAGTGCGTTTTCAAAAGGACGAGCACTTTGGGGGCCGCGGTTGTAGAAAATTATCCCAGCTTGACGAGCTCCTCCTCCAAGAGGTAGCGTATCAAGACATGTCACTATTTTGCCCCGGACTTTCTTTGGATCCAGGGATCCCGAAACGCATCGCTCTAGCTCACTGTAATGTAAAAGGTGTATTATGAATGTGTTCATGCTTGGCATCAGCGTACCTTGTACTAAAGCTTGAGTTTGGAATGCCAGCGTCCAGACTCGACACAAGGGAATACCATCGCCTGCCGAGAGTGAGTCAGGCTCAAGCCCTGTAATCAAAACATAAGAGAAGAAAAAACGAGACTACTGATATAGAATCAGAGTTTTACTCACTGCAAAGCTCAGGTTTTGCCGAGAGAGCCTCGCGACGTAAAACTGCGAGAGATGGTGCTGGCGGCGACGGTGATGATCCAAGGTGCCGCGTTTGCAACAGTGCCGAAGGAATAATTGTTCCCTGCCGCGGGCACCACGACGATGCCTTTCTGCGTCGCGTGGAAGGAACCGATGGCGATGGGATCCGAGAAGTAGCCGCTGGAATTTGTGCCAAGCGAGACGGAGAAAACATCCACGCCGTCGTGTATTCCCGCCTCGAAAGCTGCCAAGACGCTCTCGCTTGTGCAGTCGAAAGCTTGCTGGCGAGCCCAGCAAACTTTGTACGCTGCAATGCGAGAGTTTGATGCGCCACCGCTCAAGGTGCCGCTTGCGTAGCCGGACCAGCCCACATTTTCTACAAACTGGCCCCCGGCTGTGGAAGCTGCGTGTGTCCCGTGGCCATTCGCGTCTCTGGGAGAAGATATCTCCGTGTTGGTTCTTCCTTCCGGCTCGAAAAACCTTGCACCGATGAGTTTCCTGCAAAGAGTTTAAAGTTTACCAACTTTATGTTTGACCGAATTCACCTGTTGCAATGCGAGGAAGTGAAGTTCTCTCCTTGCTCGCAAGTGAATCGTCCGCAAAGCTCTTGGACTCTGGCCATATTCCTGCGATAGAAGCAATGGAAGTGAAAACTTTCAAGAAGAGCATAGCACTTGTTTGTAAGACGCAAACCACGTACCCGTGTCAATCACTCCGACTATAATGTCTTCACCGTAATTTGCCTTTCTCCGCAGTGGCTCGCTTCCAGAATCACCAAATAACGACTGGACATTCTTCCCACCGTCCTCGTCAAAGCCCAAGAAGCTCCACGAGTTGGTCGTGTGCATTTTGTGATTCTGACTAGGAAAAACGGATATAACATTTGGTATCCGGAACATATCAAAACGAGAACTGAGCAATTCTTGAACTGAAGCTTACGAGAGATGTGAGCGGCTTCTTCGCTTGTAAGTGATGCGGCAAAGCCATTAAATCCATGGTGATAGCTGTAAGTTAAAGACGCCTTTGCAGCTTCAGAGCTGCATACATTCACAAGAGAAAACAAAAACAAAGCTGTTATGGAACGTCTCCGAGAATGAAAATTATACCTTCCAAGGATGTTTTCTAGCAGCTGGTAATGTGAGTCGGTGACAGCATCGGGATCGGAGTGAAGAGTCGCGTCCAAATCTCCGAGATAGACAATATGAGTCGCCTTCTGCTCAAATATCATATTGTCAAGCAAGAAAATCGAGAACTTTAATGCAGTCATCCACCTGAGAGCAAGCAACCACGAGGAAAGCAAGCGACATGCAAAAGGTGAACCAAACAGCCATATATGTTGCAATGCAACAGGCTTCATCTATGGAGCTCTTACAGAATGAATGGAATTCGTCGATTAGTTACCCCCTTGACTTGATCAAATCAGCGTCTCGTCTGGAAACTGGACCAAGGATTTTCGAGTTTCTGTACAAAACCATCACCAGAAATCTCAAAATGTCAAGGTTGGCTAATGATCAGTGCATCATCAATGCGTTTCTTTTCACCTGGGGAAGAGAACAAAACTCTGAGCTTTGGGTTGATTCAGTCTTGCCGTATTTGGCTACTTCGGTACTCCCAGGAATAACCAGAGCACTCCGATAGCTTTCTTGACAAAGAAGCCACTCTATAGTGATACATTCTTCAATCCATTGCCCCCAGATTCGAAAAAGAAACAAAGAAGAGAAAAATCTCTTCACGAATGTGCGTTGACAACGTCGCTCTTCGAGAAAACGTAAATCGCCTTTGATAAACCCTAGAAATCTCTAGCCATAAACCCTCCTATATCGCTAGCTCTCTATCCGCACAGCCATTGGGCTGTACTTTCCATTGCTCCAAGCGAGAGCTCCAAAAGCGCAGCTTTGGTTGGCTTTGACTGCATGGAGGAACTTTAAAAGCTATTATTGTCTCTCCTCTACGCTCGAATTCTAGAAGTGGAGGAACCACCGATACCAAAACACCGTCCGGAGACTCCACGCTTGCTCGGTACGTGGTAGCGTCGTCGTCTACGTTTGTCACTCGCCGGTGGATGGTTCTCTTGCCTTTGAGAGAAGAGATCGCGATGGAGGGATGCGTCGTCGTATGTTTCAAGTTCGCGAAAGTGGAGACATCAACGCAGTTCATGAGCACTTTAGATGATCTTTGTAAATTTGTGGAGAAGATGGCTTGCTCTGAAAACTTTGTGATATACATACCGTTGCGGTTTCGTCTTTCCTGCCTCAATCCACACAGAAATTCCGTGAAGTCGGGCGCCTATCGTAGACGAGGCCCAGGTGAGCAGCCGCGTTTGGATTGACGTGGCCTCCACCGAAGTTGAAAGGGGTGGTGGGGAGCAATGCTGTGTCTTTGATCGGCTCTCCAGAGTTATCAGTGACAAAACCTGTTGCAAAACAAGAGAAAAGAATCGATTGTTTTCTTCTGGAAAGCACATAGTTACGATTGTTGAGTTGATAGCTGTATTAACCTAAAACCCAGGCTCAAGGGACTCTGACTTTGAACCCAGGGCTACATTAGAGCCATAGATTAAATCATGCACAACATATAGTATATGCTAGCACTTAGAACTGCTAGCCTTTCAAAAGGGGGAATCTGAATTATGGATTTTTATCTCCATTCCATCGTTTTTTTTATCAATACACAACATTCTTTTACTCTTGCTTCTTCTCTGCCCTTGGAGATTGAGCCCTTTTCTCTTTTGTTTTCTTACTAACAATAAATTTCCAGCGAAAGGAGTTTTCACACCTCTTCAATAGCCGCTGGATTACATTTGGGACGGTATGCCTTGAGGAGTGCATCGATCCCGGAGACACGCGGAAAAGACATGGAAGTTCATAATACCATATTGCGTATTGTTTGCCAAAGCAGCCACCATATCAGGCTAGAAGAAAAAAGAATAGATAAATAAATCAATAAATCATGCAAATTACATACCTTGAGAATGTCGGTTGGGGCCCTGCGAAGAGAATAATCCCATCACTGGTGTGGGTTTAGTGTTGAATCCAAGGATCCCGACACACATTCCTCTAGCGCACTGCAGTGTAAACAGTGTCTCAATACTTTGTCAAGCATTGGAATACGTACCTTGTACTAAAGCTTGAGTTGGGAATGCCAACGTCCAGACTCGACAAAAGAGGATACCATCGCTTGTCAGGCTCAAGCCCTATAATATCAAAGCATAAGAAAAAAAAGAAGTGAAGCCTACACAAAGAACAAGGAAAAGAAGGTAGAACCAAAGGTTTACTCACTGCAAAGCTCTGGTTGTTGCCGAGAGAGATTCGCGACGTAAAACTGCGAGAGATGGTGCTGGCGGCGACGGTGACGATCCAAGGTGGCGCATTTGTTTCAGTGCCGGGGAAATACTCATTCCCTGCCGCAATGATGCCTCTCTGCATTGCATGGAAGGAACCGATGGCGATGGGATCCGAGATGTAGTGGCTGGAAAATGATCTGCCAAGCGAGACTGAGAAACATCCACGCCGTCGTGTATTCCCGCGTCAACACGCTCTCGCTTGGACATTTTTCGCCCCAGTAAACTTTGTACGCTGCAATGCGAGAGTTTGGTGCGCCGCTGCGCACCCGGACCAGCTCGCGTTTTCCACAAACCGGCCCGCGGCTGTGGACGTTGTGTGTGTCCAGTGGCCAGTCGCAAACCACGTACCGGAATCAAGCATTCCGATTATAATGTCGTCACCGTATCTTGCCTTTCTCCGCAATGACTGGCTTTCGTAGTCACCATATAGCGACTGGGCATTCTTGCCACCGTCCTCCTCAAAGCCCAAAAAGCTTCAGGAATTGGTCGTGTGCAGTTTGTGTGTCTGACTCGGAAAGACGGATATAACATTGGCCATATCAAAACGCGAACTTAGCAATTTTGACGTGGAGCTTATGAGAGATGCGGGCGGCTTCTTCGCTTCTAAGTGACGCAGCAAAGCCATTGAATCCATGGCGATAGCTGTAAGTCAAAGACGCCTTTGCAGCTTCAGAGCTGCATAAATTCCAGCAAAATCAAAAAGCTGTTATGGAACGTCTCCGAGAATGAAGATTTTACCTTCCGAGGATTTTTTCTAGCAGCTGGTAATGCGAGTCGGTGACAACATTGGGACCGCAGTGAAGAGTCGCGTCCAAATCTCCGAGATAGACAATATGAATCGCCTTCTGCTCAAACAGCATAAAGATAAAGCAATAAAATCGAAACGTTTGCTGCAGTCATCCACTTGAGAGCAAGCAACCGCGTGGAAAGCAAACAATATGCAGTATTGCATTTGAATTATGCAAACAATGAACCAAACAACCATATATGTTGCAATGTAACAGGCTTCATTTTGCGAGCTCTTTATAGAATGAGTTCGTCGAGTAGTTACCTTGACTTGATCAAATGAGCGTCTCCTCTGGGATCAAGGCACTTCGAGTTTCTGTACAAAAAAAAAAAGGTCCAACAGAAAGCATCATCAGTGCGTTTCTTTTCACCCGAGGAAGAGAACAAAACTCTGAGCTTCGGCTCGATTCAGTCTTGCCGTGTTCTATTTCCTGTACTCCCAGAGGAACAACCAGAGAGCACTCCAGCCCGTGAAGTCTCGATAAACAAAAGAAGCCACTCTGTAGTGATACAAGTCGAGCTTTACTTCAATCCATAGCCCCCAGATTCGAAAACGTAAAGAAGAAGAGAAAAAACTCTTCACGAATTTGTACCTTCCGAGAAGAATGTGCGCTGACATCGTCGCTCTTCGTTCTAGTGACGAAGAAAACGAAAATCTCCCCTTTGATAGAAGTTCTTTGGTTTGCATTTTATAATTTTAATTTTCCCGCCGAAAATTCTGCATTTTTAGGGGTTTTGTTAGGGCTTGATAGGGGAGATGGAAGGGAAATGGGCAGCTCTATACGCGAAGCGCACCGCCAAGAAGAACAAAAGCTTCCAGGATGGATTCCTTCTCGTTAAGGCGAACAAGGTGCGTTGTTCTTCCTTCGATCGCTTCTTTATTTTTTTTTGGAGCAATGGCTCATTGATTGCCGCGCGCTTGATCAGCTCGTGCTGCTGGATGAAGGAGAAAATCCGCTGGACGAGAAATTTAGAGGGCAAAGGGATGTTGTGATGCAAGGGAGCGACCTAGAGTTTGATCGATACATCGTGCAAGTGGATAGTCGGGTTGGTGGTACCGATGCTACCGGCGGATCGAGCTCCACGAAAAAAGATTTGGCTGCAGAGGAGGAGGATTTGTCTCAGACAAAAACCAAGGCTCTCTACTTCCCGCTCAAGAAGAAACTAAAGCCGAGCATCGAACGAAGAACAAGTATGCTCCTTAGCTATTTTGATTCGAATTTTTTCCTCGCTGACAACATCAATGCAGCCAATCAGATTCTTGATAGACTCCGAATGCCAAATGGATTTTCTCAACAAAGGAGCTCTCAGAATGCGCAAGCCTCCCAAGTTTTTGTTTGCGACGAGAATGGGAAAAACGCGTCTTTGTGTTTGAGGTCGGTGAATTTATTTGATTCCTTTTGTATTGTATTTACAGAAAATGTATGCAGGCTAAACATTGTGCCCGATGTCACTCCTCCAGTTCAGTTTTACTTCCAAGCTGCTGGACAGTTACAAAGAAACGTCGCCATTCCAGACAAGTTCAAGGATTGCTCCGAGTACAAGGAAGTTATGTCTTCAGCACTGATCGAAGAGATTTCCCTGATGGTAAGTGCTTCAACTTAACAACATGTAGTTTCACTAACTACTATATCAGATTTCCGACTTTGCCAGGCGTTTCAACTCTGCAAAAGAAAAGATCCAAGCTGCTATTAAGCCCTCTTGCAGCCACGGAGAGTGCGAGCTACGCCGAAATGACGAGGTATTTGCTTGCAGGTTGTCTTAAAGCTTCTTCTGTGTTCTCGTCTTAGGATGGAGACTTTAAAGGGCGTTGGTTTTATACTTGTTCAAGGAATCCGCCTTGTATGAAGTCCTGGGCAGACACTGCAAGTAAGTGTCATGGCTGGTGTTCATAGCCTCACTTTTCTTTGTAGGTGGTAAGAGCGCCCAACTATCTGCCGACGAACTCGAAAGACTTTATGCTTCTTATGACATTAACCTCTATGCGCACTGTCACCTAGTGAGAAGGTATGACTGTCGAATTTAGTCTGACTTAATTCTTTTGCTTTTCAGATCTTCAAGGCCCGGATACATAAACATCCATTTGGGAAGAACTGTTCCCTTGAACTATGCGAAGTATATATCATCATTGCTACCTGTTGACGGCTACTAATAAGTCTATTTTGCAGGGGAGATTTGATGGTCATTAGTTCCAGTTCAAACTTCCCGGAGAAAAACAGGTATCGTAATTGTGACAAACGGCAAGGCACTGAATGGTTTTTCTGAAGCGAGGAGTTCACTGTTGTGGCTACAAGTGAATCGTTTGGCTCTTCTAGGAATGCAGCCGTAGAGGTAAAAATGGAAAAAGAAGAAAACGTGGTATATCGACATGATAATTGAAGAGCTGATATTGTTCGCAGTTACGACTACATGGACAACCAGTACCAATAAGAGAAGGAAAGAAAATATATGTCTTACAAGGGCCTAGTCTTCAATCGGAGCTGACGATGCTCGATTGTATAAGGTAACGTCCTGTTTACGTGTTTCTTCTAATTTATAACGTGCTGCTTTTAGAAAGATCCAATCCTCCAGTACGCCGTTGTTACCTCTTCTTATGGGATCGGATACGTATGTGCCTAGACAGGCTGTAATTCCGACGAGTATGGACCGCGTAGCTAAAGAGGCAATCTTTAAATACAACCTGAACAGTGACCAGGTAGTCACTCTATTCTCGTGGCTACCTTTCACACCGAGACAAATATTCTAGGCAAAAGTTTTGTTTACAGTGGGCGGATGGTTTACATCGGAAGATATCACTATGCCCCGTGTCTGTCTCGTACATGGACCATTTGGATCGGGAAAAAGTAAGCTTACCGTCTCTCTGTAGTTTTGAGATTTGACAAGTCTCTTTCCAGGTCACCTTCTCGTGGCGTTGGTTATTTTTCTTTCAGAGATTTTGAACGTAAACTACTTCAGTATTCAAGTTTTCTACACTGCCTAACATTATCAATGCAGAAACAAAATGACTTCTCTACCAGGTTTATCATTGCAAGTGCAACTAATAGCGCCGTTGACAGGTAGTTTTAGAGATGGTTGGGTACAGGCCTGACTATAAGATTTCAGGGTGTTAACAGGGCTCTTAGAGCATGGTTTTGATGACTTTCTACGCGTGGGTTCTCTTGGCAAAATTGCTAGCAATATTCTTCCGTAAGAACACTGTTACGATTTTATTTCTGCCTGACAGTTTGTGTAGCTATTCTGTGCACGCAGCCTCAAAAAACTGCAAGGAGGAAGATGATGCCGAAAAAGACTTAAAAGGGCTGTTGAAAGATGCAGTTGGAAAGGAGAGAGCGGTATGGTAATCCTCGTCGTGCCGATTGCAACTTCTAACTTCGCACCTTACAGAGGATTGAAAACGAGCTGAAAGCAATAAAAGATGGAAAACTAAATCACCGCAAGACGAGGTTACAAAAAGTACGCGCTGTTGGGGTCACTTGCTGTTCTACAATCAATGAGGTTTTGCATGGCAATACGTTCAAGGTACTGCGTCATATTCTTTCTGTTCTCGTTATTGAATTTTGAAAAATCTTTCAAGATGTGTTTTCTGGATGAATGTTCGCAAATAGTGGAGCCATTGAGTTTGTTACCTATATCCCAATTTCGATGTGAAAGGTGGTTCGTCGAACTATATTCTTTACACTTAAGACTGACGATATTCTTTACGTTTAAGACTTGTCGCTGTCGGTGATCCACAGCAACTTCCTCCAGTTCTTTCACCAACTGAAACAAACAGTTTTGCGAAGTCTGCAGATCTTTCAAGGTGTCATTTTATCTTTCTTTTTGCTATTGTTAAAGGTTCCTGTTTGTTTTCTATAGGACTCTCTTTGAAAGGTTAGCGGCTCTTGGACACCGTCCTGTACCCCTTCAGACGCAGTATCGTTGTCATCCAAGGTTGATAATATTCACTTCAAGTTTTCAATCGACTAAATAATGGCAGCAGATTATCAAGAGTCCCCAATCGTTTGTTTTACGAAGGACGACTTGTCGACGGGTGCAGGTACTTCATGTATGACGTTTGTATCTATGTTTTAAGTGCTCGTGTGTTGTGGTTTTAGTGAGATGGAGCGATCGGCTTTGCTTCTTAGTATACCACCTTTGGTGTTCTGCGACACATGCAAGGAAGGAAAAGAAAAGAAGGATTTCTTGACAGGAAGCTATTCAAATCCTTATGAAGCAGAGACGGTGTGTTCCTTTGTCAAACTTCTAATTTCGAAGACGATTTCGGGGTCACAAATTGGAGTGATCGCTCTGTACAAATCACAGGTTGTTAGCATGGTTGCCAGTTTAATTTACTCATTTATCTTCTGCAGGAAAGTTTGATACGTCAAATGCTGTACCCCAAAGATGCGTGTCCTGGTTTTGGAAGGAAGAAAGAAACCGCTCATAGTGAAGTGGAAAATGTTAAAGTGTCAACAGTTGACGCATTTCAAGGCCTAGAGAAAGACGTGATCATCCTGTAAGTTTAACTTCGCGGAAACTTGTTTTTATCTAGCTGTGACAGATCTTGTTGCCGGACGGCTGGTTTGGGATTTCTGGCATCCAAGCAGAGGCTAAATGTTGCTCTTACTCGAGCTAGACATCATCTTTTCATAATTGGAAGTGCATCCAACTTACAAAGAAATTCTCTGTGGGAAGAGCTCCTTGAGCCCCTTCGAAGGTATACGTTTACATTTGATTTTATTACTCAGGAATCTTCGTTTACAGAAATCCGAATACGTTTAGGAGCTCCGAGGACATGAAAAAGGCCTTGCTTGGGTGTTCAGAAGCAGGCTGTTCCAGCGATGACTCTAAGGACAGCATTGATAGCACCGCTGGTCTAGCAGTTTTAAATCCCCCTCCAAGCATCAGTTTTGAGCTTGACTCAGTAAGTTACAACATGTGTGCAATACTCTAACGAAGATGGCATTGCAGCTTTTTGATGAAGACGATGTCTCCCTTAAGAAATTGCTGGAAGTTTTGGATGACGTAAACTTCAGGTTTGTAGCGTTTTCAAAGCTCGCGTCCCATTCTTTTGAATTTTTTCTTTTGGCAGACCTCGGGATTTCTGGCAAGGCTACAAACTCTATTGCATCGGCCACTATTCGCATTCTCAGAGCCACCAAGACGAGTTTGCACAAACACTCATGGGTAATGGAAAGAAAACTTCGCCTTTCCGAGCGCTGAACTGAGTTTGTTGTGCCTATTTTCTAGCTGATGTCATACGCAACGTTCACGGTATGAGCGAGTTTCAGTGGGGAGGCAAGTTTGACAAGCTCGTCCGGTCCACCTGGTCCACGATGGAAGAGTATATCAAGCGGAGGCATGGTGTTAACTGTGGAGACATAAGGTTTGCTTCCATTTTTTCTCAGAGCTTATCAGCTGACACTCGAAGAAAATCCGACAGGTTTCTCATTCGAGAGTATGACGATTCCCAAGCTCTCGCAGCCAGCGAGCACGGCTCCTTCTTTTTCAAAATGTGCGAGGTATGTCAAAGATTGAGGAGAAAACTCTACTCGATGTTCTTGCCTTCTATAATGTTTTTTTCTAGGACGAGACGTCATTTCCTCGGGAGACCAACCCGGACGAACGAGAGAAACCACGAGAAGACGAAACAAACAGCGTTATTGACAGTCTCATGGGCCAACTCTCGAGCATGGATGAGCGACTGGCAAAGCTGGTTAAATAATGAAGAAACCTCTCTTGCCAAGAACCCTAATTTCTAGTCTCTTTTTCCTCTACTTGCTCTACCTAGGCGCCAGGGCGATGTTTCTCACCAGGTAGGGCTTTGATCTCGCAATCCCTAGCTTACACTCGGAATGCCACCAGGAGCGAATATGATCGCGGCGTCAACACCTTCTCGCCAGAGGGCCGGCTCTTCCAAGTAGAATACGCCATAGAAGCAATCAAGGTAAGCAGCAGCCCAGATCTCCAGCTCCTAGGTTTTGATCGTTCTTGGTGTTTCAGCTCGGATCGACAGCGGTGGGTCTCAAAACGAATCATGGGGTCGTTCTTGCTGTCGAGAAGCGGATTACTTCGCCGCTACTGGTCAGTGGCTGAAATCCTTCGTTTTTTTTCTTTCTCTTGATAAGGTTTCTCGCTCTTTCAGGAGCCCGCCAGTGTGGAGAAGATCATGGAGATCGATACGCACATAGGGTGTGCTATGAGCGGCCTCATTGCCGATGCTCGCACGCTGGTGGAGCATGCACGAAACGAAACTCAGGTTGCTTTCTAATCTTCTTTTTCCACTTGCGACTGAAAATGGTGTCTTCTCGCAGCATCATCGATTCTCATACAACGAGCCGATGAGTGTGGAGAGCACAACTCAGGCTTTGTGCGATTTAGCTCTTCGTTTCGGTGAAGGCGATGAGGAATCCATGGTGAGCGGACCTTAAGTTCTTTGTTTTGGCTCTCGAGTTAAGATAGTTCATTGTTTTTCTTCGTTCTAGTCTCGACCTTTTGGTGTATCTTTGTTGATTGCGGGACACGACGAGAAGGGACCCTGCTTGTAAGTTTGGCGTGAGCCGGATTGTGTTCTTCTAACACTATTTTCTGCCAGGTACCACACAGATCCATCCGGGACGTTTTGGCAGTGCGACGCGAAAGCCATTGGCTCGGGCTCGGAGGGTGCGGACACATCCTTGCAAGAAAGCTACAACAAAGTAAGTCTTGCGTTTCTGGACGTAGAAGAAGACTCTAAACATTCGCGATTGTTTCTTTCAGGAGATGACCCTTGAGGAGGCAGAGACGCTTGCTCTATCGACGCTGAAGCAAGTTATGGAAGAGAAGGTAAAAACTTTAGATATATCCTCGTCCACTTTCTCATGTCTCTTCTGTTTTTGTGAAGGTAACGGCTTCCAATGTGGATATCGCGAAAGTGGCTCCAGTCTTTCATCTCTATACACCAGCTGAAGTGGAGGTTGTCATTGGCCGCTTATAAACTTTCAGCAGTGTTGCTCTTCGTTTTTTGCTTGAGGGACTAACTTCTATTCAGCCCGAGTAAATCCAATGAAAGTTCTTTCTTCGAATAAGCTCCAAGCTCAAATTGTTCCAAGCTATGATTCTTGTAGCAAACTTGCCGTGCACGATACCAGATGGGAGGCTTCCTCAGGTGAGGCTTGTCCACTAGATCTCCATCTTATGCGACCAGCGCGATCGACCAGAAACATATACCTGGGAAGAACACAAAGTCACAGATTTGTCTCGAGAATGACAGTTCTTTCGCTTACCCAGTTAATCGATTCGTAACGCGTAGGTCTTTCCTGAAGTCGTAAGAATCACCAAATGCGTAGAGTAGCTTCCTGTCAGCCTTCGTGCACGATTTGGACGAGTTTATGCACATGAGAAACAAGTGCCTCACCGGGACGAAGGATAAAACTCCGGATTCCACCCATGAAAGCTGCAATGAAACTAGAAACGTTAGAATGTTTATAGTCGTGAAAATCGACCCGACCTCAATGACTTGGATGTCACTCGTGGAAGGGAAAGCTTCTCGAAGTGGCGAGACCCAGGAATCCACCATTGCCTGCGAAAAGAAGCGAAGCTTCAGTTTTGGATTTTGTTTTCTACGATGCATACCTCGGCACTGTTTCGGAATGACAAGCACACCAACGTAACGCAAGAGTTTTTGTTCAATGGAAAGATAGATGACTCCCTCGTTGGAGTGTAGACTGTCGACTTTGGAAAGATGGTCGCTGATGCTGGAGGGTCTAGCGCTGTGCTCGTCGCTACTACCTGGGAGAAAAAAGAAAGAAGCAAGAACAAAGCTCAAGAACAAAAATAAAAATTAAAAAAAGAGAATGCATACCTTTCCACTGTGTTTCTTGAAGTCCTTGAAGTCAAAGAAATAGCCTTGATCGATATCCTCCATTCTGCACTAAAGAATGGAAATGTAGGACACCGCGTCAAAAATTCCTTTGCAAAGAAAGAAGAAATGCAGGGAGGAATTCACGTACATCTTGGCTCGCTCCTTGAGATTCGCAGCTTTGCGATCACCCCTGCTGATCGCCTGGTACAATTGGGATAAAGAATTTAGGCCTGCAGATCATGATATTGGAAAACTTACTCTTGAAATCGACCAAAAGAATCTCGCCTGGTCGTGCCGCACGGACTGCTCTTCGCGAATCATCCTACCGGCGAGCGCTCCGCCGGATCCAAGCGCATTCGCAAGGCGCGCGATTGACGCCCTCATGATACTCCCCATTTCGAGATTAGGGTTTAAGCACTCAACCTTCAACGGCTGCGATTGTGCCACGCAAAAACCACTTCAATCTCCACGTGAGATACCAGGTTGGATATTATGCAGACGTGGCAGTGTAGCTCTGCTTAGCTGGCATACAATCTGGCTTTGCCTTTTCAAAAAGTACCAAGAAAACCGGCCCGTCCAAAAGCCCGCCCAAACTCTTTCCCTCTCTCGTTGTTTTAGGTCATTCGTGGAGGAGCCGGAGGCTGGATCTAGGCGCTCGCAGGGACTCAGGGATCGCGTAGCTTCCAGGCTTGGAAATCCAGGGTCTCAGTCGATTTTCTAGGGTAGAGCACTGTGCGGGGGGATCTTCGTTGATGCGGCTACGATATTCATGCTGGAGACCACGGATTCTTCGCCGGCTCTGAGCCAAGACACTACTCGGGAGCAGCAGGAGCCAGTCGAATCAGGTATGGAGTCCTAGCTCGGCAGAATTTAGCTCTACTCTTGTTGAATCTCAGTTTTTGCCAAGAAACAGAGAAGATTGCCGCTGTATTTCATGTAAGGCACCGTCTTTTCTTGCGATGCCGGGTTTTTTTTTGTTGTTCTAGTTCTAGTTCTTGGTTTTTTTACATGGACCGGACATTTTGACTCTTTATCTTTGTTCTTTCAGGAAAAAGGACGAGGCAATGGGCAGCGTGGACTCATGAAGAAGAGGAAAAGTTTTTTTCCGCGTTACGACAAGTTGGCAAGGTACTATCGCAGTGACACTTTCCAATGTAAAGAACTTTGAGTACTATTTGCAGGATTTCGAGAAAATCACATCTCAAGTTGTGAGCAAAAATAAGGATCAGGTGCGTTGTCTGGATGCAAGTATGCTGTTTAGCTTTATATCTTCTTTTAGGTCCGGCATTACTACTATCGCTTGATTAAGCGCATGAACAAGTTCCTGCGATCAGATCTTCTGATAGATGCGAGGAACTCCAAAGATGTAGATTCGGCGATGTTGTGCTGGTGAGGTGGATCTCATTTGTCTGAGACATTTAAATGTTCTGTTTCAGGTGGTCGCTTTTGGAGAAGTTTAAGTGCTCGTCTTCTAAGCTTCATTTGAAGCCTCGGCGTTTGAAGGCTATTGCGACTGCTTTGGTATGTATGTTCATTACTGTGGACTCTCCTGATGCATTTTTATGTCTAATTTAGGAGCAACATCGTCTGAAGGATAGGAAGAAAGCTAAAAAGAAGGTTAAAGCTCCCTCAACAAGCACGGACAAACCTGCCAGTGTTGTTGCTGGTGAAGTCAAGAAAAGATCGTCCACGAGAGCTCCAGTGAGGCCTCAAGTTAAAGCAGCTAGTGGTACGCTTCTTGTTTGCAGGTTTTATGTGTGTTAAATAAAAATTTGTATGCAGATAGCGTCTGGAGCCCCCTGAATCCGAGCTAAATAGCAAGATCATTGAAGGTGGAAAGCCGGAAGAAAATAATATGGAGAAGCAGAACTCTGTATCAACGCCCACGCCCTCTGAGCCTAACTTGAAGTCTAGCACATCTGTTCCTCAAATGGAGACTGCGGTTTTGAAAATCAAGTTGCAGCTTTTCCCAATTGACGACAAGACTAAAACAGCACTGGAGCAGGTATCTTAAAAACTTGAGTATTGAGTTTACAACCATTTTTAACAAATATTGTTTGCTACAGGAGGGTCACAATCCACACCTTGAGTTGACACTCAAGGCCTCGAAAAGCATAAGCTCTGTGCTACAGCACTTGTCTCAGAAATGGGGTCGCTGCTCTGTGGCTACTGGAGATATTCGTCTCTATCCTTTCATTCGACAGCCTTCCTCTACAAGCTGGAACTCGAAAGATGTGGTGTGTGCTGCAGACGTTTACGATGTCGTAGGAAGACCTTCAGTATTTCGCTTGAGGTAATGCCTGTTTTTCTTTTGCGTTCTTTAGTTTGGAGTTGCTAACTTCACTGCCACCATGCTATGCTGGACAGGTATGGCTGGTGCCAAAATGTTTGTGAAAAGAGTTCAAAATCTGGTGCGGAGCCAGTCACTGTCATCGAGAGACACGAAGATCATTCTCAACTGGATTCTCAAGTACCTGGCTGTAGCTGGTTGTATGATAGAAGTACGGATGGCTTCGGCCAGCGGCTTTGGCGAGATGAGGTAAGCTAACAGTTCGACGTACTTCTTTATTCCAAATCTTGCGGGCTTTTGCAGGAATTACTGGGAGCTTCTTCGGTTGATCGCTTCATTGTATTGAATGACGCCTCCAAGCAGGACGCCGATCGATATTCTTTGACGCCTTCGGTGTGGGGAGGCGAAGAAACATGCGATGCGTTTTCTTTCAAAACGAAGGAGCACATTCGAGTTGTGCCACCAGCTCGGGTATGCATGCTTCCAGCGTCTCTCTGTGTTTGATTTACTCCAGCGTTTTATGTCCAGGAATCTGCCGCTTGTTCGCTACTCGGGACGTCGCAAGGCACATCCAGTTTTGATTTGTTCCGCTCATCGTCAAACGCGGACGTGCTCCGCTCATCGGCTTTGGACCTGTATTGGGTGAGCGATTCCTCATTGCAGTGGAAGACTTGTTTTTGCATTAAACTTTGCTCGTGTACTCTCCTGTTAGGCCGATTCATTGGGAGCTGTGGATGGGACGTTCGCGCACGGGCAAAGCCTGCTGTTAAACGGGAACTCATCGCTCGGAGGTGGTATATCTACGAGTTTGTTCCCGGACACCCTGGACGTCTTTGCTCAACAAACTCCAGGCGTGCTACTCTCGCCTAATGACATCCAGATGGTTGAAGTGGATCGTCAGTGAGAGAGTGCATCCATCTGGACTCCCGGGTTGTTCAAGCACAGTTGGGATGAAAATCATTGGCGGCGAATTAACTTTTCTTTCCAACCAACAAACAGCAGCATTAAAACGATCTTCGCAGCGAGCTGGGAGAGAGAAATACGTAAGTACTTTTCTCGTGCTTTTGACGCTCACCTTTGTTAAATGCCGCTGCTGAAAGCCTCGGCTTGTGCTGCAATGGCGAAAAGGTTGTTGTGCTCATTGCTTAGCTCTAAACATTTTTGCTTGTTCCTTTCTCAGGTTCGCTACTGATGCTTGCTTTAACATTGCAAATGAGGCATGGAGGACATGGCTACTTAAAAGACTACCCGGTAACAGGACAAGCTAGTTGTGGCTGTTGTAAATAATTTATTGTTTTCCAGGTTGAAAACCTGTGAGTCCTTACCATTTCGAGAGTCTCGGTTTTACTTCTCCATTGCCGAAGACGCATGTTGTGCAGCCAGTTTGATCACCACCCAATGCATGTCAACCAAGAAACATTTGCTTTGTGAGACTTTAATGGTAGATTAAGATCTCTTCTGAAACATTTGTTTTGTAGATTAGAATCTCTTACACGTAATTTTGCCCATGAAGATATTAATATTATTGCTTGTCCATTTTATAGTTGTAAAAGAAGGGTCTGTTTTGGGGTTTAGGAAAGAATTAAAAAAAAAAGGAAAATGTAATAACAAAAAGACTTCAATGATTTAGAAACGAATTTGATAAAAAAGAGAAAATAAAAAATGAAATCAAATGCACTTCGAAGTTTGGTTACATAAACCACAAGTAGTTATATAGTTTTTATTAATGTTCTTTCTATTTTTGGTTTTTTATTTAATTTTCGTTGTGAATTTAAAATTTTGCACTATATATATACTCAAATATTTTAAAGTAGCTATATAATTTCAAAATAGTCAAAAAT